GCTAGCTTTCGGTCAGCATCCAATGTCAAGGTTTTGCCGACAAGCTTGGCTTGAGGCGATGATTGTAACTCTTTAGATCGCATGCAATAATGTAGTTGTGACTTGTACTGCTTGCAATCTGATGATGCAACTACTAGGTAAACTTGGGATGGCAAGTGGCATGATTCCCAATGGCTTTAATAGTCGAGACTCCAGCAATAGGCTGTCAATGTGGTACGAGGCCACTCACGAACACAACCACTGGATATTGGTTGTTGGTAATTTGAAGTTCGCTACTGATAAGCTAACTGCATTTTGCACTTTTTTCCCAATTGCGTGTAATGTTTTGGGTGATTGAATGTAGGAACTTTTGGCTCTAGTCCCTGTAACCAAAATTAGGATTACTTTTCTACCTGTAGATTTAGGATAAACCTAAACATTGCACCTAAGGTTTCTTTTCTTTAAATAAGAATATTAGTTCCTCTTAATGAAGGTATCAATTGTGCACTTATTTCAACATTCGACATAACTTTACCAGATTGAGCAATAATTAAAATAAAAAACACCAAAAAAAATTTTGACTAGTTGAACCACTAAACAAGTGCCTAACAAATTCTAGTGAACCGATAAGGTTAACCCTTACTTGGAAAAGGACCCAAACAATGCAGATATGATAAATTCTACTTGTTTCTAGCCACAAATGTGGTCCACATGCTAGCTTTCCGTCACCATCCAATGTAAAGGTTTTGCCGACAAGCTTGGCTTGAGGTAATGGTTGTAACTCAGTAGATCGCATGCAATAATGTAGTTGTGATTTGTACTGCTTGCAATCTGGTGATGCAAGTACTAGGTAAACTTGGGATGGCAAGTGGCTTGATTCCCAATGTCTTGCTAATTTCAGAAGGAAAAATAATTATGTAGAGATGCTAAGCTGGAACGGGGATACAGTTAGTGGTAATGAAGAGATGAGAGAGAAGGCGACGCTGTTTTTTCAGAAGCTGTATATGGAGGACATATTTCAAAGGCCAAATCTTGATAATTTAAATTTCAGAAGGTTAAGTAATGGAAGTAGGGATGGGCTGGAGATGCCTTTCATGGTAGAGGAGATTAAAGCTTGCTTGGATGAATGTAATGGGGATAAGGCAAAGGGGCCAAATGGTTTCGATATGAAATTCTTTCAGGTGTTTTGGGAGGTGATAAAAAATGATGTGCTGGCTATTTTCCAAGACTTTCATAGGACTGGAACCTCTGTGAACTCAATCAACTCAACCTTCCTCGTGCTTATTCCTAAGGTGGCAGGTGCCAAGGAGTTAAAGGACTTTATACCTATCAGTTTGGTGGGATGTATCTACAAACTGATTTTGAAAATGCTTGCAAGAAGATTATCTGGAGTCCTTAGGGAGGTGATTGGAGAAAATCAAAATGCTTTTGTCGAAGGGAGACAAATCCTCGACGCGATGATGATTGCCAATGAAGTGGCTGATGAATTAGTTGGACAGAAAAAACAAGGGCTTATTTGTAAAATTGACATGGAGAAGGCTTATGATCATGTGTATTGGAACTTTGTGGACTATATGCTTGGTAGAATGGGTTTTGGAAGTAAATGGCAAAAGTGGATTAAAAAATGCATTTCGTCCACATTGTTTGCCATCATTGTAAATGGGGGTCCATCTACTTTTTTTAAAGCGTCAAGAGGCTTGCGCCAAGGGGATCCTTTGTTTCCTCTTATTCTTCTTACAGTTATGGAGGCGTTTAGTAGATTGATGGAGAGAGCAGAGAAGCTGATGATGCAAACAAAACTAAAAACACCCAAGATACTTAAAGAGTATCAAAAGGTGACTTGAAACAAATTTCAAATGACATGAACACAAATAAAATTGCAAACCTGCAAAATTTCAGCGAACCAGTAACAAGATCAAAGGCAAAAAATCTTAAAGAGTTGCTCCAAATTTTTACTAAAAAACATGTGGATGATGGACTGGCCAATTGTGAAAAATTCAAATATGAGTTTTTTCAACAGTCCAAATTCGTAACTTTAATTGGATTTAAATTATTTGGGATGATTTGAGTCTTATTGTTAATGAATGAATAAGCCTTGTGTATGAACTGGATTAGTTGAGTTGTTTTAAGTATTTTGTATTGTTTTATTTTACTTTGAGTTATCTAAGCTCATATAATCAAGTGTAACTCATTTGGGCTTAAATCTTATCTTAGTGTTATTACAAGAATGAGTCCATAACTATTATGGTGCCACAAACAATTAGTGGTGTTGGTTAAGAAAATTGGAGTTACAAGAAGTTACATAACAATTACATGCCTATAACTAGCCTAATTATTATTGAAGTTACAATTGTAATTATCACATAATTAGCCTAGTTATTGTTGGAATTACAATTCTAGTTATTGTGTTGTAACTTATCATTGATTTCTTTGTCAATAAATACCAAAAGAACTCTTTTTTGTGGACATTAAGAGTTGTAATCAAATATTTCATAATTAAGTTAAAAGTGTTTTGGCTTTTTTTTCACTTTATGCACAAGATATTGATTTGGAATACAATTGTTATCACTTGTATTCAATTTTGAATTCTTATTTCAATTGTTCTTGGTGCTTATTTGGAT